ATATATTGAAAGTGCAGGCTTGTCGCTATATCACCCGAGAGACGCTCCCCTTAATTCTGGGACAGTTGGCAGGTAAGAAAACAGATTCGTGCATTTTTAGGAGAGAACAGATTTATTTTTTAGGAGAAGCAGATGGTGCGGATGACAGGGAAGGTTTGATTGGACTGAGCTCAGTCAGGCCCAGTACTGGTTAGAAAACAGCACTGCGCCTTAAAATGACAGACGAGGAGTGAAAGAGATGCAGACTTTGCACATTTATTTTCTGGTTGATATATTTAAACCTTTAATCCTTAGTGCACATCAAATATATTGACTTGTTTCCATAAACAGGAAGGTGGAGTGTCACATTGTGACAAACCTATTAAAGCGTTAAAGAGTGGTCGCAGAATGCACAGATAGACATGGAGTGAAGTAATCAATGAATTAGGTGCTGACTTGCCCAATATTAATAGCGATTTGTTTGCAGTGCATATAAAGAGAGAGAGGGAGGGTGTGTTTATATCTGTATATATACAGAGAGTATAGATCTCAGGATTGACGGCTGACATTAAGCCATTTTAAGTCAATAACGGTTTCTAACTCAGGTGGTGTTTGTAGCAGAAGCAGGTTGTGACATTTTTGAATGTGATTATGTTGAAAACATTCGTGCAATAGTGGCCAAACGTCCAAAAATGTTATCAGTTTGATAAGGAACCTGGATTAGTATTTACACCGAGTTAGGACGTTAGACTTGGACAGTTTTCTAACTTCCTCTGACAATGGATAATTTAAACAAAGACTCAGTTTAAATAATACTGACTTGCTTTTTTTCTTTTCCAGGAGCCTATCTCGGTAAATATTCTGCTACGAATTTTCAAGACTAGCTAACATCAAACAAAGGGAGACAAATGGACCTTGCAAATGAGTGTTGACTGACGCCTTCAGATACTTTGTATTGAGTAATCTCCATTTGATAAGTATCACCAACTCTGCTACTCTTTTTATGTGAATCCAGCCCCCAAAAGAGCCTCCATAGTCAGTACCCCCCTCCTCAACAGAGATATGCCTGATCACTGCACCATATACTTCCTCTGGAGGGGAAAAATATGTCAGTGTGTCTTCTAAGCCCCATTTAACTACATAAAGAATCGGAACATTGTGTGCGATGTGAGCAAGCAAGCTTCTCCTTCGGTACATAAAGCTGTCTTAACATATCACTGCAGGCACAGGTTCACGCACACTCCTGTATAATGGATATTATGAAAAATACAGATTTTTAAAGAAAATTCTAATTTCCCAACAGGCTTTAGTGGGGGAGATCATCGAGAGGTGAGCTTGCAGAGACCCCTAAAGCATAGTTGAAAATGTGTATCCATTGATAGGCGAACACACGGAACTGATTCATCTTTGATAAAAGTTGCCCATTAACACGTACACGCAGATACCATTACTACCTCCATTAACATGATTTAATGAATCTAAAATCGATAAATACTGCATGCGTTAATGTACGAACACATGTTTTACCATTTTGTTAAATGAAATCCACATTAATATCTCATGATGTAAGAGACCACTTAACACAGAGCATTCACTTGGAGATTTAAACAGCCCCCATTAAAATAATTCTTATTCACAATAACACCCAGCTGATATGTTACACCATACACAGTGGTAGCCTGTGTAACTGTTCGCGTATATTAGAACTCATCTCTTAAAGTGACAATTAAATAAATCTCATATTAGAGCGTCAGTCATGGAGGGATTAGTTTAACACCATTTTTCTGAATAGTTTGTTATGCTTTATACAGATATAAGCCTGAAAACGTGCAATCATTTATTTATTTATAAGTAGGCTCCTCGATGCGTGTTCCAAGTTTTCACAGGGATTAGAAATTCCTCTTTTCCTGTCTATTGCAATTCAAACACTGAAACTTGCATCCACTCAAGAAACACGATCTGATTTCCAGTGGAGTACACGGACTGCCCCAACTCTGCCAACTCTCATCCTGCTGATCTGTGATCAATCTCCATTCTTTATCTGACCTGTGATCAATCACCATGCTTTATCTGACCTGTGATCAATCACCGTGCTTTATTTGACCTTTGATCAATCACCATGCTTAATCTGACCTGTAATCAATCACCGTGTTTTGTTTAACCTGAAGCGGGATCCACGTACAGGTAGTAAATGGTCCCAGTATGAGTACCATCATCAAGGCATTGAAATGTAATGTGGGTGCTGTGATAGGCACTGTAATTCCTGTAACCCACGAAATAGGACATGGATGTGATGTATGAAATCCTCCGTGAGCCAGGGTTCTGCAATATGGTGTTATTAGAGCAAACAGTGTCACTGTATAACTTTGCATAGAAAAGACAAAAAGGCGAGGGAACTACAGGAACAGTGCTGCTGTAATGACCAATTTTCATACATAATACAAATTAAGTTACAACGCACACATGAAGATATACTTTGAAATCTTACAAGGCTACTTAAATCGTCTATCTAAGAAAACAAATATAGGGATTCAATTCCACTATATGGCCATATTGTGTTAAGTCCACCACTACTTCTCTATAGTAAAAATATATACTATATGAGTAACATTTCATATATAATGTATTGTGTTTATATTATGTATTAATATGCATGTATATATGGAAACCACATGGATTTTTTTACAACCTCGCTGGAGAGAAGGTCTCTAAACTCAGAGTTGTGGAGAATGAAATCTAAATGGCATAATTTAGATTCTGAAACTTAATCCAACTCTGCCAAATCCACAATTTGAGTATTTTAGTCTAAATTTTGGAGTTTTCATCCGCAGTGAATGAATTTAGAAAATATCTGTGATCTCCCAATGTTTGTTTCCCTGGAGCTAAACTCCATCTTTAACCCCTTAAGGACAGAGATTCAGAAGCTTGTCTTTCACTTAATGACAACAGCATTTTTTAAATTTTTTTGCTGTTTGCGTTCAACTGCAATTTGCATTTTACAAATTTATTGCACCGACACATATTATATATCGTTTTTTAAAGGACAGAAAGGGCTTTAATTTGATGTAACATACATATATAAATGCTTGTTTATTATAAAAAAATACAGAAAAATGCAAAACAAATGAAAAGTTTTGTGGTTTTTT